ATTGGTTTGCAAACCACATCCATGTTGTCCATTCGCTACTACTGTAGACATGCACGTCCTTCGACACATTCTCGCGTTTCGTCCTAGCGCATGGCGTTTTGCCACACGGAGGAGCTGCGCCGGTGGAATCGCCTTCACAGTCAACGAAGCCATCGAGGGACCAGAGATTAGGGTTAATTGAAATTATTGCATGTCAAAGGTTTCATATACATTTTTATTGTTACCATGCAATCATTTCGTTTTGAGAGTTATTCCACATCACTGTCACTCACTCCTGACTACGACTCCGACGACATGGAGTCAACTTCCTCGACTTCATTCATGGTAACGAGCACATCATACAGATTCTTCACGAGCACGGACATCTGCTAACGTCGTGTCCACGGTATACTTCATTCCCACGTCACCCTTGACTTTTGACCACACCATCTCGATAGGTTGCAGATCCGAGTGGTGAGGCGGCGTGTACACCACAGCATGCCGACGTGCACGGGCCATTGCAACAACCACCGGGTCCACACGGGCAGCAACAACAGGTTTGAGCCTTGACTATATTGTCTTCTTCAAATCACGTGACTCTTAACATCAACTCCGTAGCGCAGAGAGGTTGCTAATAGAATAAAATATGGTCTCTCCAAAATCAATTGTATTAATGGATAGAGGTTATTATTTGTCATTATAGGAATTGGATGCCTTTATCTGTTTTGCTACAACGTATCTCAAAGGTTATTCATTTTGTAGTCTGACATCCAATGAACAAAATTTAGTTCACACTGAGCTCTGAAATAACACCAAATTTCAGAGGAAACTCTGATTGGGTTCCTGAGATATGAGTGAATGTTCCCTCGTTGCCTTCGTTAACTGTCAACAATTGCCGAAGCCATGTCGCGGATATCCGAGTTGTGTAGACGAGTGCAAGATATGTCGTGAAAATGGAAATGAGCCATGGCATGGGCGCATGTCAAGTTGAGAGCGTCGTCTGAGGTAGGTCGCCGTTGAAAGTGACCAGAAATGTGGTCAAGTCGTCGACTAGAATGGATTCATACATATAGGAACGCTAGGCCCCAAGAATTGCCGCTGGGGGACTGGTGAACTCTTCCGCGTCCGAGTCGCGCGTGCGGTAATCTTGGGTGTACGTGACGAAGACCGACGCGCCTTGGATTAGCGCGCCAACGAACAGGAACACGACGCATGCATAGGCCGCGCTGCAACTTCCACCGCAATAACGCAAGAGCGGGCTGCATGCCAGCGCAATGCCAGCAGCGACGAGGCTGAGCGCAAACCCGCCGTCAATGATGAGCTTGTGGACCGGAAGAAGGGTCAGTTTTTCTTGCCGCAGAACAAATACGATGTACAGCACTGTGTACACCCACAACGTGTACGTGAGGAGGAAGGCAAAGTCGCCTGCGCCAAGGCCAGTCACGGCCGTGCTGCACAGGAACGACACGACTGCGACCAACCATTGCACGATGCGCAGAACGAGTTCCAGGTTGTTCCTGTGGTTAAAGAATTCGCTGACCTTGTCCTTAACATCCACCATGGTGATTGCTGGAGCTGCCTGGAGTCTTTGCGAGTGTCGCGGGCGCCAGGAATGGCCGCGCGGCGAGTGGGAGTTTGCAAAGGCGAGACAGCCAGCCCGTCATGTCAACGACGTCGCGCCAAAAGCAGTTTAAACGTTGTCTGGAAATAGGTAAAACTCCTCGAAATTGCGTTTTTCTTGCTGCGTTACCTCTCTACAGTGAACAGTGACCAGCAAATAATACTGTTGCTACACTCTCAATCAAACTCGAGGTGTGGCTGTACTCCAGCTTACAAGTACATGACAATCGCGCTCCTGCATGGCTGTTGGTTTGGGTCAGCATGCCTGCGCTCAATACGGACTCAACCATACACTCAGCGTCCTGGTGGTGTTGCAATATCTGGATGCGTACATGTCACTCGCTTCGCCACGCGCGCACATGTGTTCTTGAAGACACAGTATTGGTTCGGCAAGATACAGATATGACGTAGGCACACTGACACAACGAACGTTTTGCTCTCGTTCGAGATTGGAGCATTCGCAGCATGCAATGGGGCATAAGTGGCCACAGAGCACCCGTTTACGTCTGTGCGGGGCGGCAACATATTGAACTTGCATTCCTCTCAGCCGAATTCTCAATGCCATCTACACGTACTACCGCCACTGGCCGATCCGCCAAAAGTCAGTAGCATGCAGAGGCACGCTGGGCAATCCGCCACGCTGTGGTACAGTAACCTCGATAAGTCATCCGGAAGACGTTAAACCCATCACAACAAAATGCGTTTTATTCTTTCGACCAGACTGCGTGAGATCTGTGTCTTCTGTCCTGAGATATTACAAACGTCCTACAATCAACTTGGCGAACCTGACATCCCTCCCATGGATAGACTAACATTCTTCGGATTGATGCTCATACAAATAAGAAGTTTAAATCTCGCTCTCATCTGTGGAAGCACTCAACTTGACGCGCAGCAAGACAACAACCGCAACTACGCGCCCATGCAAAAGACAATGAAGTTTATGAGATATATGTGAGGACTGTATACTCTATGCATCAAGTAGACGCAGCAGCCACTCCGAGTGGTTGGAATCCTCCGCACGAGTCATGCGAGAGCGCTCTCTTGACTCGCACCGGGGATTATCCGGACGTCATCCGGATGATATCCATTGTTGCACACCAGGCGATCAACCGAGTTGGTATCGGCGGCGGCAGTCCTGTTCCGAGGCAGCGCGCGCATCAATTGCCCAGCACAATATGAGCTTTGACGGGAAGAAGATATGCACATTCTACCTACAAAACCAGTGCACGAAAGGCGCGTCCTGCCGCTTCGAGCACACGATCACAATGGCCAAGCCTCGGCGACCAGCCTGCAAGTTTTTTCGAGAAAACAAGTGCACTCTTGGAACGAACTGTCGATTTGAGCACTCGCTCCACTCCCGTGGAAACTCGCATTCTGATGAGGCCGCGTCATTGTCGTTTCCTCACTCGAACCCGTCGCTCCTATCGTCGTCCCTTCAGGCTTCCGCCGTTGCCCCAGTCGTGCCCGTGACCAAGCTCGTGACTGCAAACCAACGCACAGCCACTCACTCGGAAGCGTCGCAGACCCTGTCGCAGCCCAAGTCCGACCCAGGTCGGATTGTCAAAGGTGAAATCAACGGCTTGACATTCCAAGTCGAGATTGTCGACCCAGCATCCATCTTTGGCCTGGCCCACCGTCGACGCGACATGGATGAAGAGACTGATTTCTCGTATGTCGAACCAGAGCCGATGGTGGCTGCCATGGCTGGGGGAGACTGCGACGACGTTGCTCGAAACTCGCCGCAGTCATCGTCCGGTACACACTGCGCATCCACGTACCAAAAACAACTGGACGAGCTCGAGGCCCATGTCAAGGCGCTTCAGACCAACAACCCTTCAGACAGATCAACCCAACTTCCTCACTACGAGCAATTTGGCAACACGTCCGACTACTCTGAGTATTCGGATGTGCAACCCGCCCACCCGCCGTACGTTCAAAGTTTGTCCAACATGGCAAAATCTGATGAGAGCTGCGTATATCATCCCTAGGAAAGTGTGCAGGTTCTTCCAGCAAGGCCTGTGCCGGTACGGCTCGGCCTGCATCTACTCGCACGACCAGCCCATCGACCCAATCGAAAAACAGCTCATGCTGGCCGTACGTAGCTGGAATGACGACATGTTGTAGAGCTGGCGCGATTTCCATTTTGATGGCTTGTCTAGGAACTGCTCGAGTCGCAAGCGATCGAGTGCAACCTGTGCATGGATCTCGTCCTGCGACAGGGCGAACGCTTTGGCATCCTGTCGGGGTGTGCCCACGCATTTTGCCTCAAATGCGTGCGCAACAAGGAGAACAAGACACCGGTGCGTGCTGTCCACACACAAATTGTGCCGTCGATTCCGTTGACGAGTTGGTGCGTCAGATTCGAGCGTGCCCAGTTTGCCACGCTGACATTGAGTTTGTCGTCCCGTGCAATCGCCACGTCCAGGACGAAGCAAGGCGCGCCCGCCTCTTCATCGACTACAAGGTGTCGTGGTTCGGTCTCGATATCGTCCACTCAATTCCAAATTATCTAGACAAACGTCGCTCAAATCCCATGCCGGCTGTTTGCCCAAGGCCGGTACGGTTCCAACTGTCGACTGGACAACATGAAAGCATCTCACGGACGACGCGTGTTGCGCAGGGGGACTTGTCCGTTTGGGTCCAAGTGCTTTTACGAACACCGCATGGCGGACGGCACCGCTCCTCCTCCGGCTGCGCCCCTGCATCGCCAGACCAGTCGGCCCCTCTCGAATCTAAAGTAATCTACGTCTATTTGTCATGCGTGGGTGCCATGGAACGGACCGGTCGAAGTCGCTGCAGGCGAGTTTTCTCGATGGCACCATCCCCATGCTGCTCACAGCGTTAGGTTGGTTTGGCAGCGAGCTTGCCTCGCTGCAACTGCTTCCACGCCTTGGCGGACAGAGCAAACTCATTGCGGGTCTGCACGCGCTTGTCCTTTTCAAATTGGGTTTGGTCGTTCCAGGCCCGAAACGCGGTGCGGACTCGACGGGAGCGCCGACTTTGGTCGTGCCACGTCTTACATGCCAGCCGCACCCGCTCACGCTTGGCGCGGCGGACCAGGTCCCGGTACTGTATGCGTCGCAATCGATTTGTCATCCACAGGACAAAGTACGGCATCAAAACCGCTTTCGGATCAACGTCTTCAGGAATCGTGTCGTCGGTGTACACGTTGTCGTCGCCACAATCGTTTGGCGTTGCGCGGCAGATGTCGCCTCGGGTTGAGCTTGGGTCGGCGTTGTGGTCACGACCGCCGCTCGCATCGGACTCGAATCCTTCGTCAGCGTACTGGTCTTGAATGGTACGTTCGATGGTGGTCAATAGTGGCGGAATGCACCCCCGACTGGTTTCTGCAAGAATGGATGGTTGTGGTGCGACGACCGCAATCGGTGGGGCTGCCTCGATAATCGCTGCTTGGAGATGGGCTTGCCGGTTGAATTGCCACGTCAAGTAACTCCTTTGGATCGTCGCAGCCGCATGGGATCTCGCACACACGTGTGTCCACACGCTGGTCACCATTCTTTTCCAGGTGCATTCAACCATCGCTGCGATGGCGGTAGTCTTGTGTTGCCGATATTCCCGCCATGATCTTTGAATCGAACGTCCTGCTACCTCTCGGTGCTTCTTGTAGCAACGAGCGCGCCACTCGCGTCGTATGGCCGTCCGACGACGTGCCCATTCCTGCAGCATTGTTGCCACCTTTGCGTGCTTCTCGTCTTCGCTACGCCCGCCCTGGTCAACGCATGAACGACGACGCCGGCGGTGACGCATGTACGCCCATTCAATCGTTTGGACAGCAAACGCTTGACACCGCCGACTTTGGTACCGTGACCGCTGCCTTAGGATGTAGCGCCACCACGCTTGCAAGCGGAGTGCAGCGCGGTGCTGGGCCACGCAGTGCATGCGGTGGTCTCCGGTCTTTCGGCGTCGGGCGTGCTCGGCGTCACGTGGAATTATCTTGGAGACAGGTCTTTTGTCGGCGACGGGTTGGTCCACATCGATTGCTTCGTAGGGCATTCGTGGCTTGTTTTGGCGGGGGGGTTGACCTGTGCGAGAGTTGTCGCGTTTCGCTTGGACTGGACTGGGATGCAGCACAACATTCCCTGGATTGTTGGCATCTTCAGCGATCTCGTCTGATGTGCGGCCGAGGGAGGTTCGCAATGGCGTTGATCGCGTCGACGATGCTACTCGGTTCTGTTTGGAACATGTGAAGAGAGCTTGCGTTGCCACGGCCTTGTCGCTGCGGTCGTGTGGTTTGGCCGATTTCTTGGAAGCGACAGGGCTCCGACGACTGGACGGGTCTAGCGAGTTGGTCGAATGCGTCTTGGCTTGCGTGTTGTGCTGCATATCGACCATTCGCTTCACACCAAATTTTTCTAGAGATGGGGCTTCGCTCGACTGCTTGAACGATGCGCCGTGCAACCTTGGTTCAATCGGCAGCGGCGACGTGTCGTCGTTCATTGAGTCCCGCCTTGGATGGGCTATGTGTACGTAGTCTGTGTCCAAGGCAGAATCTGCGTCAAGCGCCCGCAACCGAGCAATGCGAGCCGAGAGCGTGTCGATGTACGACGTCAGGTTGTCTTGATTGCCGAGGATGGCGGTGGTTGATGAACTGGACAGGTTTGGCAAGGGGAGTTCGGCCGAAGTCGAGTCGCCCACTCCTGGCGTTGCCAGTGACGAGGCGTGGAACGGTAGAGAAGACCGCAGGGGTACCATTCGTTCATGACTGTTCGTCGCGGTAGTGGCATCTTGTGTGACGGTGTCCAGGACATGCAATTGTCTTTGCAAATGACTTGCTGCGGTAGTCACGTCGCTGCACAAGGCAAAGATGCGGCGCAGGTCGGCGTTCACGGGTTCGTCATTGAGTGGCACGGCGTTCGCCTGGATTGAGGCACCCAGCGGCACGTTTCCCAGTCGGTTTGTGCAAGGCTTTTGAAGTGGCATATCTTGATGGTTTTGTTTCGAAGGGCTGGCACGTTGCTTCTCCACAGATAGCTGTCTCGACGACGCCGCCGTTTGATGCAAGAGCTGCTGCCTCTGAGTGTGCTTGTTCTGCGCGGCAACCACCGGACCTTCCGATTCAGGTTCCACGTTCAAAGTCAATATGTCGAGGTGACACGACGTTTTGTGTGGGTGGGTGGATTTGGTGGCTTCTTCATCGAGTCGGCGCTCCATCTCCTCTTTCACGATGGCCACCAAGGCCGAGATCACCCTCGCATTTAGAGTCATGTCGCCTGGCTGCGTCATGATGTTGGCACCCTCAGAACCGTCCCTTTCGTTGCTCGTACAGCTTACCTCGAGATCTCCAAAATGCAACCGCCGCGCGATACATTGCACAACGTGGTCGGTTCGGTGTGGTTTGTGTGGACAGCACACAAGCAATGTCAATTGCGGGGTGTCCAGCGCCATCGACGACAAGAAAGGATTCCGAACGACTGGGAACCCGAGCTCGAGCGACAAATACTGATCCAATATGTCCGTATCGGTCGTCATCTACACATTCGTTTCTGTCAGCGTCAAGTCAAACGGTATCCCTACTTTGTGCAGATAGCTCGCGTCATCCCATACGAACGCTCGGTTGTTGGCAGCCGCCTTCCACCGCTGGATGCTCTCGACGACCGCCAGCGAATGCAGCCGCAGTGGCACCAGCAGCGGAAGAATCTGACCGGTGCCTTCACTTCCCCATCTACCTTCTCGACAGCGCTCGACAATCGTGGCAAGGCACTCCTCGCGTTGCAGGATGGATTGCACCACCGTCATCTTGAGCTTGGAACAGTTTGGGGCTGCGACGATCGTATTGGAGATGGCTGGGTCATCGCCAAGAACGCCACCATCGTCGTCTTCTTCATCGCTCCACAATTCGGCGGTCGCGGTAGGCTTTCGAGTGTCGTGGATTCTGTCGAGATGGTTGCGGTGCTGCCCTCGCTGGGGGTACTCTGGCGTGAACTTGACGTCGCGTGACTTTGCAGTTGTTGGTCGTCCACGTTTCTTCTTCTCTGGCCGCAGAGCGAGGTCATGAAACTTCGCGTTTAGTTTGGCGGACTGCGGCCGCATCGACGCTGCCGACGCTACGAAACAATGCAAGAAGGGTGTTGTCAATCGCACTGCGTGAGCGGTTTGAACGAATGCGTACGTTGTTGCAACGACTGTCGCTGCCGAGTTGGGCTCGTGCGTGTGGGTCGCTTGGTCACTATCTAGTCATGTAGGTTAGCGGATAAGTGTTGTGATCGTGCAGGTGCTAGCGTACTCTGCATCCGATCTCCATCGTCGTGGTGTCGCCGGCACCATCGCGGGAATGTGAAACTCGATGTATTTTTAGACTCTCGTTGCATTGGTCAAAATAAATTTAAATAAACCAATGAAACTACAGTATTCAAGTGTTAGCCAATCAATTTAGGTGAGTGCAACCATTCACCAATCAATTCCAATTAAGATTGAATGGATCCGTATGATTGGATGAAAACGTTTTCTCGATCCACACAACACCGCGCCGTATCAACAGCATGCACAAGTGGCTGGGCATCACGCACTCGGACTCGGAAGACGGGTCGAGCTCCAGCGACGAAGACTACTTTGACTCGTCCTTCGACGAGTCCAAGCGATTGAAGGCTCAGGCTTATGCCGACAACATCGCGGCGCGGTCGTGGGGTCTTTCTCATCGAGACAAGGCAGGGTTAACACAAAGCAGTCTCGCGCTGACGGCCGACGTTGCCGTGCACTTCCACGAAGAGTTGGGCCAGCAGCGACGAGTATGGGACTGTGCACTCGTGCTGTCCAAATTTCTCGCGAACTCAGCGTACTTTCCACCGGTAAGATCGTTGTGCGCGCTCCGTTGCATGGACGATTGATCTCATGGTGGCTCGTACGGCAGGGTTCGTTCGACAACAAACACATCATCGAGCTGGGCTGTGGCATTGGCGTGCCTGGTTTGTCTGCGGCGCTTCTTGGGGCGAAGCGCGTCGTGTTAACGGACATGGTAATCCTCCCGCGACTCCTGTCATGATTGATCATAACACGCCAGGCACAAGCCATTCCGTGGATCGATTTCAACATTTCCAACAACACATTTCCGCCCGGCACGACAGTGTCTTCGCTGCCCTTGATGTGGGGCCCAGGTACTCTCGGTGCAGCATGCGGCAGGTCTCGATGACACCCGTCGCCTCTATGTAGATGTGACCTCGGCCATTCCACGTCCGTTTGACGTGATCCTGTGTTCGGATTTGATTTATGGTGACACGGACCTGGCGGATCTGCTCCTGGCGACCATTCGCGCCCTCTCGCACGCGTCCACACTGGTCGTGTTTGCCCACGAAGCTAGGTACGCCGGCAACCAAGGTCGGTACTTCCTCGACATGATCGCCGCCACCCATACCGTCGACGTCATCTCCTACGACGTGCTGGATCCCATCTACCGAGCCACCAACATCCACGTACACTTGCTTCATCCGCGTTTGGCCGACGTTTCCGATGCAGCTGATCCCGGTGCAGCGACCGTCGCCAAGCCAGCAGGCGTGTGTGTACAGGAACGTCATGGATGAGGAGTACACGGTGACGAACTCAACCACTTTGCCGAGTGCCGCCAGCTCGAACTCTTCTCCGACCTCAAACAAGTTGAACGATGTGCGTAGTGTGTTACTCTGCGCGTGGCGCTGTTGGGATGGGTCACTGTGAAGTAGCAGGCAGCAGATTGCACATTTACATGGGGTGGCCCGTTCTTGCCATAGATGTAGTACGATAAAGACGTCACTTTTCCACTTGCAACTCGCTCTTGATTTGTGGCAGCGCCGACGTCGACGTGCCAACGTATCCCCGTCGACTCTGTTTGCGGGTCATTTTCATGTGGTGGTCGAATTTTTTGACTGGAGTGAAGCGCAGTTGGTTGGTTGTCGCCCCGGCCGACGATGCTCTCGCCGCCAGTTCGTCCAGCGCCAAGTCGTCTTCGAGATGGGCTTTGTTTGTATCGATCGCAAGAACGCGGCCGAGGGTATGGGGCAGCGCAGAGCTCGTAGATGGAATAATATGAGGGCTTCGAAGGGAAGACATGGATGGGGTGGCGTCTTGGACGGCAGGAAGCGGTCCCCGCAGTCGGTGTTTGTTCAGTGGCATCGGGGCTCCATCAAACGACGGATCGAGCTGGCTCGGCGCCTCGACGATGTAATGGAACCACCTGGAACGATGCACAGCAGAAATGAACTCGATACAATCAAGAAATGAAATAGATAATGGCATTACCGTGCGTCGCGGTACGTTTGCCGACATAACGATTCTGACGTTGGCAATGGCTGGTCCATTGCGTCGTGGTGAATTCGCATGGTGACGTCCTCAAACCTCGACACTCGGCCTTCCTCGTGCTGCACCTACGTGTGCACCCAGTTGTTGGAACGAGGGTGGTGACTAGAACGAAGTACTTGATGCACGACGACGTCGGTATGATTGAGCACACTCAGGAGAGCTTCAATCAGCCCTGGCTCGAGCTTGGCTGTGTCCTCGGCGGCCAGCTGATGCAGCGTGACCGTGCTCGACTGCTCGAGAAAGGCACAGGCGGGGTTCTACGAACGAGTAAAAAGTCGCAGTCCTAAAGGTTGCACAGCACCTTACCGATTTAAATGTCCGGTGGATGTCCAGCAACATGTGAACGATGCCTGCCGAGACAAATGTAGCCCGGAGCCGCTTGATTTTGCACAGATTCGCCATGGCCACACACACTTCGACGCAGAGCTTGGGGTAGCAGGGCTGCGCTGTGTCAACGCCACGCACCATCTTAACGAGCCACGGCACGCCTCGCATCAATTGGTCGCATGCCGCCGAGTTCTCCGTCGCGGTCTTGCCGGGGGTTTCCGAAGTCCGGGGTATCCGCTGGTCCTGATGGGAAGTTGGACGTTCGGCCGCACTGAGAGACAGATTTCGGATCGCCATGGCGGCATGGGTGAACAGAATGGCGGTCGAAGTGGATGGAAGCGGTGGAGCGAGCTCTTTCACTTGGTCCAGGAGGTGCCCCAAGGTACTGACGACGCCAGTGTCGAACAGCACCGCGTGCGTGGTCACATGCGTCGACAAATGGACGAGGCAGCTCATGCATTCGGCAAGAACCGTGACGCTTGTGGGGGTTGTATTTAGTAGCCGACAGATCGCCACGATGTTTTGACTTGCGAGGAGCGGCGCGGCAAGCTTCTTCCGGCTCATGATGTGGATGGTTGTGGCGGCAAGGCTGCATACTTCGGGATCGTGAAGAAGCGGGGGCAGGGTGTCCTGCCATCGGCGTATCATCTACGGCAGAAACAAGAATGTCTTCGGCAGCTTCTCCAACAAAATCGAGGGAGCCACACAAGGCACCCATTTAGCCACAGCTCCAACAAATTGTAGAGATTCTCACGGTCCGAATATGCTTCACGGCTAGAAAGCCGCACAAGACGGCACCAAGCGCACGCTTACCTCGACATGCAGGAGGTCAGCAGCACAACTATCATCGAGCGCCAAGTTATGGAGTGTCTTCATGATTGCCCGGGCAGTGTCCACGCTCAGGTTGTTGACCATCTCCTGGTCACGGGTTTCCAGCACCTGGAGCAAAGCGTCGCCAACTTGCATCTCGACAAACAAATGCAGGAGCTCCGTCACGAGCGAGCAGTTGCCGACCGCTTGGGCCGCCAGGCGTCGCACCGAGTCGTTGGACGACGTCAGGAACGTCAAGAGCAAGTTGAGCGCGTGCCGCGTGCAGACCTACAGTTTAGTCCCCATGAGAGTCTGCACACCCCACAACACCAGCCACAGGCAAATCGTAGTGGGTATGGAAGGTCGGCAAGCCACGACGACATGAAAGGGACGAACCACTTCGGCATTTCCGACTCGCAGCGTCAGATTCCGCAATGTCATGGCGGCGCTCGCCCGTGTTTCGGTATCGCCATCACAGAGGCATCGAAGGATGTCCGTGACCTGGGCGTTGTGAATAAGTTCCTTGTGGTTGGCTTCGCGGGCACTCAAGTTGCAGAGCAACCCGACAGCGTGCCTATGCATTGGCTTCGTTTGATTCCATCCATCGCGGGAAAGGAACAAGCGAGCGCTACCGTCGACTGTCAAGCGTGAGGAAATTCAAGACGCGCTTTCGACGGCCGCTCACGCCACCAAGCAGGAACGCCGTCACACCCAGCTTGAGAATCGTGTCGTGGTACCCGACAGAGTCGCTCAGGTTGAACAAGGCATGGAGACACAGCGACAACGTTTCTTCCGGGCCCCCGCTCAAGCCGTTCGTCTGCAGCTGGGCGAGTTTCAAGAATGCGTACAGCACGCCGTCGTCGATCACTTGGGCCTGTCAACCGCCACAAGGATGCATTAGAGAAGTCTGCTCGATTCGGCTGCCCGGGATGGGAAAGTTACTCGGGACGCTGGATGCGACAGCAAGTTGTACAGAGTTTTGGCGTGAATTTGGATCGCGTCGAACGAGTTGGACCGGAGCAACGCGACCACCACGAAATCCTTGAGCTCTTCTTCGTTCCACATGCACCTACAACGTCAACGTTGCCGTGATGGCGCAGTGATAGTTGGAGTGGAGCGAACCCTGTGATGGCGACATTACATGCCGCGACGGCTGCGTATTGCTGGCACATGGACGACCGCCCGAGCTTGTTCAGCGCATGAGCGAGCCTTGGAGTGGTTAGTAAAAGCTGGCGACCATCGGAGGTGAACGACACGATCGCAAACGTCGATGCACACGCGAGCAGCGTTGGCGGGTCTTCGCTTCCATTGCATGCTTCCACGAGGGCTACACCACCCCCAACGACAAATGAAACCAGTCATTCGTCACGGCAACATACCTAGCAGAGCCGTGGCAGTTGTGTGGCCGGTCGCGCACATGTGGTACAGGGTCCCCGTGCAGTAGGCTTGAATGGCTGAGCGCAAGTTCATGCCGCGGGAGTCGACAGGTGGGATCGACGAAGTCGCGAATCGGCTACACGTCCAATCAATTGGTCCGAGGATGCGATTGACCATGCCCACCTCAATTGATACATAACATCTTGGACTCGTGGAGCAAACAGTATGTCGCTCCAGTCGGCGTCGGCAGTGTGCGGGTGCTGCAAGACTGTCCAGATCGTGCGCGATAGCGTAAAGAGGATGCCTGCGAATCCATTCAAACACGGACGACCTCATTTGAGCATTACGACAGCAAACCGCAGAGACCCACGTACCAGCGCAAAAGTATTCGACTGCGCCAGCCCCAAAGGCTTGGTCGAGGGGGATTTTCGTCGCAGGGACGTTTGTGTGGTTGACGCACGCGACGACGACGTCCACAAGGGACTGCACGTGCGCGATGCTCTTGAACTCGCCCGCGGTGTGGCACATAGCCGCCAGAAATCGAAACCGAGTCTACGCCATCACTTGCGTGAGGGTGCAACGACGTTTGTTTCGTTACGTCGGTCGGATCTCCCTCCACGTCGTCGAACGTGTCCAAGGGCTGCTCTCGGAGCTGCTGCTGCAGCTTGAGCATGCCGTTGCCGAAACTTGTTGGCGCCGCATCCACAACTGGGGGCGGGGCGTAATGGAAGCCATACAACAATGCATCGATGAGGACTGCCGGGTCGGCCGTCACAACGCGGCGGAGGGTTGGATTCAGCGCAAGGTAGCAAATGGTCAAGCTTAACATGTACTTGACGTGTCCGGCCGCGCCGATTTTGTCAGAGTCGTCGTGTGTATTCAGCCGAAAGGATGCTGAAAGGCAGTCGGCCAAGTGCGAGTCGAGCCCTGATGCCGGGGCAATCGCATCGTGGCAGACCAAGTTGACCAGTGCCACCAACGCGTCGTTTTTCATGCTGGCAACATGTTTCGAGGTAGACTCCATGAGGAGAACCTACGGAATGTTTTCAGCCAGGAATTGCACCAGCCATGGCGGCGCTCATGCGTTGAGTTGATCGTGGCCATTCACTCGACTCGCTTCGAACGAGTGGTGTGCGAAGAAGAGTGTTTACCTCGTTGAGGACGTCAAACACGCCCGATTGCACGAGCAGGGGACAGCAGAGCGGACATCGTGTGAGATTGGCAAGCGTTCGCAGCACATTCTGCTGGCATTCCTCGACACCGGGGTTGACACCAGGCGGCGCATTGGAAGCCGTCGTCGTCACCCACGCGTGGAGCCGCACGGTCCGTTCAACGAGCTGCTTGTTTCCGTTGAAGATGGTGTGAATGTACTCGTCGTTCGCGGACAAATTGGCGAGGATGCGGGCGCAGTGCCCGAGTACAAACGCCAGGCGCTGTGACGGCAAGCTGCTTTCGTACAAGAACAGAAAGTGCTGGACGATCTTCAAGCTCCACGATCCCATGATCAGTTGCAAGTCCAAGTACTTGGAGAAGTGTCCGCTGGCGGTCGCAATCAGCTGTGCGATCGCTTCGGAGTCGTCCAGCGAGTCGTTGTAGGTCGTGGATGGGGCAAACCGTAGCTTGGTCAGCCTGTGGACACAACAACAGCACTGACCAGTCTGAAGGAACCGCAGGCCAACGTACGTTAGCGTTGTGTGTGGGGCCTGGATTAAGTGGTAGAGGACTTCGCCGATGCCGCCTCGAATGGCGCCGGCCGCGCTCGTTGGAAACAAGCTCAAGTTGAAAATGACTTCGGCTGCAAATCGACCTGTGTACATGGGAGCGAGTGAGTCAACGCAATGGGATGGCGATGGCTTGGCTGGTGGACGTGGAACCCAGGGCCATCGAACGCACCGTTGGTGGGCTCTTCCACGAGTTGAGCGATCGCCAGGACGAGTCCAAGTTTGTTGTGGCCGACGTTGCCGCCGCCGCAAAAGAGCTTTTCGTGAAACTCGCACCCGTGGCAGATCATGTTGACAAGCGTTTGGATGCACAGCTTTTGCAGCGGTGGATGCGGCAGCGACAACATATTGGACAGCTCGATCACCTACCGCCGGTGAGAGCTCCACAGCCATCCATGTCGCAACTACGGGACGTACAGCTTTGGACGCAAATAGCGTTTTGGTAAACTCTGGGTAGCACGACAGCCGACACAGTGTCGTCGTGCAGAGTACTTTGACATGAAAAGACAACGACCATGAGACCTCCAGAACGACTGGGATGCCATCGTGCGCCGCGAACGCCACGAGCACCTGCATTCTAGTTAACCATCATGATGCCCCTGACACCACGCGTACCGGAAGCGCCGTCGTCGCCGTCAAGTTGGCCAGCGTAGCTGCACAGTACGCTTGCAACCGGCTGTCTTCGGTATCGCAAAAGTCGGCAATGTTCTGCAATATTTTGGCGCGCCGTTGAGTGTCCACAAGGAAACATGGCGACAGCCTCACCTGAATGGCGCCGCTGTCTATGATCATCGCTTCCGACCCCACTTGCTTTGACAGTTTGTACAGCGATTCGGCGCATCGGCTCCGAGCTTCGGCGTTCTGGGGCATGTAGTCGGACGGCCGGGGGTGGGTAAATTGCATGAATTCCCCAGTCACTACGCCGTCATCACAATTCGTGAGTACGCAGGCCACTCAACCTGTCTTGGGCGAGCCAAGCGTGGGGAGGGGACGTCCTCCCTTGGTGTCTGGTACTCCTTAAATTCACGTACAGCTTTGGCGGTGGCGGTGGGGGTGCTGCTCGTCTGTGGTCCGTGCAACTGCAGCCTGCCACCGCTCCTTTGCATTGGTGAAGTTCCAAGCCTGAGGCACTTTAACTCGGCTTTGGTACACGATGCCATCGACTTGGCGATCGTCTTCCAAACACTCGAGCGGCAGATTCGTGGTTGATGCGGGGACTGCTCGATGTTGGCGCCGTCGCGATGACGATGGTTTCTGCACCGTGTTTTGAATCATTTTTTTGCGGGCTTTGAGTGATCCGAGCGTAAGCGCCGTGGGCGATTGATACGCGATGGTTGACGCAGCGACCGACGACGCTGTCGAAGGAGGCGTGCGGATCGTTCGAATCGACGGCAAACTACTCGACGTCGACAGCGAGCTCAGCGTCCCAAGCGACGTGGATGACGCGGACGACGTGAGGGTCGGTCGATTCGACAGAGGGAAGCCATGGCTCGGCGACTGGACCATCTATCCGTGACTTGTCCAGCACCACAAGCACGGAAACGAGCGGAGGAAGTCCGGCGGCGACCAACTACTTCCTCAGTTACTCGAAATACCATGCACACATACTCGAGTTTATAAATAGGTCGATGCAATGCTACCATCGAAAGATGGAGCTGCCTGTCGCGAGAGATGTCGCCGGAGACGCCCATGCGTCAAGAACAACGAACACTGCACAGTGATGCGGTGCTGTGTCAAGGGTAGACCAGAACACAAATTTGATACGTTAATCACAAAGTGGAAGTAACACAGTGGAGGTCTTTCCTCCACCGCACTCAATTCGGCATGGCTACGACGGCACGATTGTCGCGACGCCTGGATCGGCCAGGCGCAGACCTGCCAGCCACTGGGAAATGCTGGGGCACCCCACAGGCACTTGAACTTGGATCGTGGGGCCACCGCCGTACCAGCTATGGTAGAGCTGCCAACTAGCTGCGTCAATCAACCTAACCACATACGAGTGGGTAAACAGACACCTTCAACGACAGAAAAGTTGGACAGCACCGGTAGTCTTGCTTCAACCGTAAGTTGGCACGGACGCGAGGTACGTTCGCCGTCGAATCGAGTAAGAAGTGGTTCGGAATGGGCCCTGGCGCGTCTGCGGTGGTGTGCTGAAGTTTGGACACAAACACCTACCATGCATATGCCATGGGCGATGATCCGAGTTGCGAGTTGTACAAACCAGCCAAGCTTCGACCCAAGGAGCCGCCACGACATTCCACGTTTGCCCTGGTCGCGGCACGGCTTGATGGCACGCCTTGACCGCACTCAGCTCTGCCACGGGGCTGTGGTTGATCGGTACAGCTGCCACTTTCTCGGAAGCGGCCGCAGGGATCAAGATGCGAATGTCACCGTATGACGCAGCGCGCGGCATGTCAGGAGTCGGCATCAATGGAAACCACGCGTCCTTACAGTGATCTCAGCATATGCTTGCGTAGTACACCGAACACTCACCTGGTCGACTGCAGAGTTTTCAGCGAAACACTCCACTGGAATGAACGCATCGCCCAACGGCTTGGACGTAAAACCAGCCGAGTGCTTCACAACTACCTGGATCCCGTCGACGTCCTTGAGATCGACGCGGCCGAATTCGACGATGAGGTTCCAAAGTGGGTTGCGGGTCGACTTGACGAGCTTTGATCTGGCACTCGCCAGTGACTTCTGCGCGGTGGACACTAGCGACACTTCGCAGATGCAGTTACTGGTAAGTCCGTCAGCACCAACCGCGAGAAGCCCCTTCCCGCACACCAGGGTGAAGTGGAGGTCTATGATACGGCTAGTCGCAGCACTGAGAAGAGCTTGGCGCTTTGTGGGGGACATCTCCAGCCCGCTGAAGCCTCGTGACGACATTACGGTGATGCTGGTCAGCCGATCTTGCGTTGTTGAGAGTTGTCGTTTTGAAATTGGAACGAACACCATACAAATGGCAATATATAAGCTGAATGCATTGCATTAAATTGCGTGTCTTTCCCATTGCATCACCAACTTTATCGAATGGTCATACCTAGTCGAAGGGTTGCACGGTGCTTAGATATGTTTCAACATGCAATATGACACATCAAAATGAAAATGCGTATAATTACCTCCGACTAGGGATCGTCAGCTATACTTGTACATTAATGTCCAAGTCGGTCCCCAAATCAAATTCTCCAATCGAATCTACTTGCAACAAACTTTTCAGCGTTATTCGATATGTATGCTCCTGACGGAATACATGGCATATACACAAAAAGTGTGTTCTTCGTTCACCGACTGACAGTGTGAGCGATGACCGAGAAATTTCCAATACAG